ATTCTGACTCATAGCGGCCCCCTTTGGGTTTCCAGGGCAGTAAATCTTTACAGAGATAGATTGCCCAGTCTTCCTTCCACAAAGTGGCTGGTGGGTTTGAACCACCAACCGTCTGGTTAGCAGTCAAATGCCTTAGGCACTATGCTACAGTCCATGGTATTTTCAGTATTCTACACCAAAGCCACAATTCAAAGGCTTCAACTCTTCTTCAGTCTTCTTTATTCATTGCCCAGCTTTCACTAATTGTTTAGTGTCAAACCTCATGCATATGAGGTGATTGAAAATCCTATAGTTTGGGTCTGGTGCACCTTAGTTTTCAAAGTGACATCTTTGCTTCTTAACACTTTAAAGAGGTCTTTTGCAGCAGATTTTCCCACCGTAATACGATGTCTGATTTTCTGACTGCTGCTTCCATGCGTGTTGAGTGTGGATCCAAGTAAAATGAAATCCCTGATAACTTCAATCATTTACTAATGGGTCACTTACTAGTGGGGGCAGAAAATGGAGAAATATATGAATTAACCAGTATGTGCAGCCTTAAATGGCTCTGGACTGATGGATGTTGTCCTGTGTGCCCAGGGCCATGATGATGACAGCCTGTGATCTCTCAGCCATAACCAAGCCCTGGGAAGTGCAGAGCAAGGTAAGGACTGGAAGAAGGGAAACCTCAGTGCTGGTGACACCAAGAAATGAGGCTTGGAGTGTCTCAGCCCAGCCCCACAGCCAGTCTACCTTTTCTCTATCTTCCTGTGCAAAGACATGGGAATCACTTTAGGATCTCTCCAATGATGACACCAAAATGGGGATGGGGATGGTCAGGATAGAATAGAGTTGATCTTTTTGCTGAGGTGACAACCCATGTGGGCAAGAGCAGGGGTAGCAAGATTGGGGCTGGGGCTTTGACTGTGAAATTCTGTCTGTGCAGGTTGCTCTGCTGGTTGCTGCTGAATTCTGGGAACAAGGTGACCTGGAGCGCACAGTGCTACAACAGAATCCCATTGTGAGTAAGAGGGGAAGTCAGCCTGATACTAGGCATGTGTGATCTCATCCTGCCATAGAGATATGGCCTGACCTTGATGTAGAGATGTGACCTGGCCCTGACATAGAGACATGGCCCCCTGATGTAGAGATATGTGACCTTACCGTAGAGATAACCCTTTCCTAATCAATGGTTCTCAAAATGTGGTCTTCGGACAGTATCAACCTGATCTTGGGAACATGTTAGAAATGGAAATTCACAGACCCTACCTTAGACCTACTGAGTCAGAAAGTCTGGGGGTGGGGCCCAGTGATGTTTGCTTGAATAAGTTTTTGGCATTTGACTGCTAATCAGAAGGCTAGCAGTTCAAACCCACCAGCCACTCCTTGGAAGGAAGATTGGGCAATCTACTTCCGTAGTGATACTGTTTCGGAAACCCAAGGAGGGGTCACTATGATTCAAAATCGACTCATTATGATTCAAAATCGACTCACTATGATTCAAAATCGACTCAATGGCAGTGAGTTTGATTTTGGTTTTTTTGAAAATTTGAGAACCTGCCCTAATGTGTGAGTCCTCATCTCACTTTAAGTAGAGGTTGGTAGAGGTTGATGCTAGATTCCAACTAGTGACAGAATGAAACACTGCTAGGGCTTACCCATCCTCACAAGCATTACTATGTTTCAGCCCATTTTTGCAGCCATTGTGTTAATGTACCTCATAGAGGGTCTTTCTCTTTTTCACTGACCCTCTACTTTACCAAGCCTGATGTCTTTCTCCTTGAACTGATCCCTCCTGATAACACATCCAAAGTACATGAAATGAAGTCTCACTATCCTCACCTCTAAGGAGAATTCTGGCTGTACTTCTTCCAAGGCAGACATGTTTGTTCTTCTGGCAGTCCATGGTATATTCAGTATTCTTCCCCAACACCATAATTCAAAGGCATATATTCTTCTTTGGTCTTCCTTATTCATGGTCCAGGAGCTCTGGTAGCATAGTACCTAAGCCACTTGACTACTAACCAGAAGGCTGGAGGTTCAAACCCACCAGCCACTCCTCAGAAGGAAGGTTGGGCAATCTACTTCCGTAATAATACTGCCTCAGCAACCCAAGGAGGGGTCACTATGAGTCGGAGCTGACTCGACGGCACATAACAACAACAACAACATTCATCGTCCAGCTTTTGTATGCATATGAAGTGATTGAAAATACCATAGCTTGGGTCAGGTGTACCTTAGTCCTCAAAGTGACATTTTTGCTTTTTAACACTGTCAAGAGGTCTTTTGCTGCAGATTTGCCTGGGGCAATTTGTCCTTTGATTTCTTGACTGCTGCTTCCACGGGTGTTGATTGTGGATCCAAGTTAAGTGAAATTCTTGACAATTTTAATATTTTGTCTTTATCGTTGTGCTGCTTATTGGTCCAGTTGTGAGGAATTTTGTTTTCTTTATGTTGAGGTTTAACCCATACCGAAGGCTATAATTTTTTAACTTCATCAGTAAGTGCTTCAAGTCTTCTTCACTTTCAGCAAGCAAGGTTGTGTCATCTGCATATTGCAGGTTCTTAATGAGTCTTCCTCCAATCCTGATGCCAAATTCTTCTTCATATAACCCAACTTCTCAGATTATTTGCTTAACATACAGATTGAATAAGTATGGTGAAAGGATACAACTCTGACACATACCTTTCCTGATATTAAACCACACAGTATCCTCATGAGCACAATTAAGTGTTCTCAAATTCCCATTCTTTGCAATGTTATCCATAATTTTTATGATCCACACAGTTGAATGCCCTTGTATAGTCAATAAAACACAGGTAAACATCTTTCTGATATTCTTTGCTTTCCACCTAGATCCATCTCACATCACCAATGATATCTCTCATTCCACATCCTTTTCTGAATTCGGTTTGAATTTCTGGCAGCTCCTTGTTGATATACTGCTACAATCGTTTTTAAATTAGTTTCAGCAAAATTTTAGTTGAGTGTGATATTAATGATATTGTTTGATAATTTCCACATTCTATTATATTATCTTTCTTTGGAATGGGCACAAATATGGATCACTTCCAGTTGGCTGGCCAGGTAGCTATCTTCCATATTTCATGGCATAGACGAGTGAGCACTTCCACCACTGCATCCATTTGTTGAGACATCTCAGTTGGTATTTAGTCAGTTCCTGGAGGCCTGTTTTTCATCAATGCCTTCAGTGACGCTTGGACTACTTCCTTTAATAGGAATCATATATTACCTCCTCAAATGGTTGAAAACCAAAAAACCAAACCCATTGCCATCAAATCGATTCTGACTCATAGCAACCCCTACTGGGGTCCAAGGCAGCAAATCTTTGTGGAAGTAGATTGCCCTATCTTCCTTCTATGGAGCAGCTGGTGGGTTTGAGCCACCAGCTTTCTGGTTAGCAGTCAAATGCCTTAGGCACTGTGCCATCAGAGGTCTTTTGAAATGGTTGAACATTGACAAATTGTTTTTGGTTCAGTGACTCTGTGTATTCCTTTTATCGTCTTTTGCTGCTTCCTGTATTGTTCAATTACTTGCCCATAGAATCCTTCAGTATTACAACTGGAGGTTTGAATTTTTTCTTTAGTTCTTTCAGCTTGATAAATGTTGAGAATGTTCTTCTCTTTCAATTTTCTAACTCATGTCTTTGCACATTTTAGTATATTGCTTTACTTTGTCTTCTCGAGCTCATCCTTTGAAGTCTTCTGTTCATCTTTTACTTCATCATTTCTTCCTTACACTCTAGCTACTCTGCCTAGTGGTGGGCACTAAAACAGTTTATAGATTTAGAGATTTTTTACATTTGTGGATTCTTTTTCAGTTTCAAGAGTCTAGAACTCTACCTCCACTGGTCCTGTGGACCAGTACAGAGCAAGGGAGGTAGGAACCTTGTAAAGCTGTAAACCTGTCAATGTTGAAAGTTAACTGAACTGGAACAGCCAGCCAGCTTTGTACCAGAGACAAAGAGATTGAGGGTGATGCCATGGCCTTGAGTGTGGAGCTAGGAAGTAGAGGTGGGCATGGAGAGTAGGGGTAAAAGGGAGAGATATTTTGGGGACAGAACCATAGATATGGGGAAAGGATAACCATCTGAAAGTTTGCTAAGTATCCTGGGGCAATTACACAAGGCTGTGGTGGAGCTGAGGGGGATTGGAATGCTATGGGGAGCAGGTAAGTGCCATAAACATGAACAGTAAGCATGACTTATTTTTTTCTTCTTCTTTTTAAAATGTGTAAGGAACTCCATGAACTCATCAGCCTTATTCAACAATTAGCAGAAGTCTGAAATTCTTGATTGTTTTATTTCTCTAGTCCTACTGATGAATCTTTTCTTTCTCTTTTGGCTGGAGTATTTAAAAGCAAATCCCAGACATTATGTCATTTTGCCCATACATATTTTAGTATGTATCTCTAAGAGATAAGAACGTCAAACACACAAACACACAGGCATACAACCACAATACCATTATCAAACTCACAAAGTTAATCATAATTCTTTAATATCATCTAACACTCAATCTCTATTCATTTTTTCTGATTAAGAGAAACAATTGAGTTGTTTTATACAATTCAAGATCTAATCAAGGACCACACTGCTTCTAGTTATTAGATCTCTTTTAATTAGTAACAATTCTCTCTCCTTTTTGGGGGTGGGAGGCAGTATGCTGTTTATTTGTTGAAGAAACTTGGTCTTTTGTTGTGTAGAGTTTCCCACATGCTGGACTTGGCTGATTGCATCCTCATAGAATTACTCAATATGTTACTCTATCCCTTGTATTTCTTGCAAACAGCCAGTCAGATCTGCAGACTAGACAAGTTTGGGGTTAAGTTTTTTTTTTTTTTAGCAAGAAGACTTCTAGGTAGGGTGAGTTTCCCTCTTATGGCATCATGTCAGGAGATGCCCAGTGAATTTAACCCTCTCTCCCCCATGACAGCCCATGATGGACAGAAACAAGGCTGATGAACTCCCCAAGCTTCAGGTCGGCTTCATTGACTTTGTTTGCACCTTTGTCTACAAGGTAGGCCCATTTTATTTTATTTTCTTAGACTCAATAACATGTCATTGATAAATCTGGGATTCCCAAACAGTGCCAAGAATAATACACCTGGCAAGTGACCACTGGGTGATACTCTACAAAGCACTTCTCATCTCTGATGGCTTTGATCCCCAGGGCAGCTCTATAGGGTCTTGTGTGACTGACTGTATCTCCCACCTAGAGCTTGGAGCTTGTCACATCTAAGTGCTCAATAAATAGTTTGGAACAAATGACTAAGACAGGGAAAGAGGAAACTTGGTAGACACATGCTCTCCTAACTTCCCCTTGTTGTTGTTGTTGTTATGTGCCGTCGAGTCAGCCCTGACTCATAGCGACCCCTCCTTGGGTTTCCGAGGCAGTATCACTATGGAAGTAGGATTGCCCAACCTTCCTTCCGAGGAGTGGCTGGTGGGTTTGAACCGCCAGCCTTCTGGTTAGCAGTCAAGTGCCTTAGCCACTATGCTACCAGAGCTCCCTAGCTCATGGAAATGTGATAAGCCAAAGCAACTCAATTGCCAAATGATAATCTCAATTCCTCTTTGAACTCTTGCTCAAAGGTAAGGTCCTTCTCTTGAAAAACCCACCACTTCCAAATCCATCTGTGCCACCATCCACCTTCTTTTTTAAAAAAAATTTTTGGTCATGTTCCACATAAGGAAATAGAGGTCAAAGATGAGAAACAACTGGGCTAGCATCACTGGAACCATCCAGGAGACAGGTTTAGAGCCAGGATTCCTGACTGCTGTGCAAGTTGCCACTCTTCTGTTTGGAAGGAGAAATGCAGATGCTCCAGAGGGGAATGAGTATGTCTCTGATGTAATGCTGACTGACTGGGGTTCTCTGATCAACAGGACAGAGGATCTGACTGCTCTACACTCTCATCAGTAATATTATTAAGTGAAGGACAGTAGGCTGAGTGTTTTACATGAGTTATCACCATAATCTTGTGATCAAAGTTATGACTGTCCTGGTTTCAAGGCTGATGCTAAGCAAGGTTAGTGGCCTGTGCAAGGTCACACAGGTTGTGGCAGAGCTGGGGCTCAAACCCAGGCAGCTCTGAATGTTGTTGGTTCTAGCTGGACCTCCATGGCAGAGAGTGGTATTGGGATGCCAGGGGTGTGAACCACAGTGGGTGAAACTGTCAGAGAGGGTGACACCAAAATGACTATTTATAAAATTTTTGTGTAACATTCCAGCAGAAATTTATTGTTTTTTATAAAAATATTCCTATAATTAGTTATAACAATAAGAACATCTTTCATAAACCCAGTTTACATGTATCAATATACCTACAAGGCTGAAATTCTATACTAATTTACTTTTTGAATCTTCTAATACACTCCAGTCAGAGTTGCCCTTTTCTATATATTTTATATATATGGAGAAAGAGAGACAGAAAGATAGAGACAGAGAGAGATTTATTTCAAGGAAATGACTTGCATGGTATGGAGGCTGGCAACTCCTGACTCACATGGTTGCAGGGGATGACTAACTCACAACTGGCAGATCAGATGATAGGCTGTTGGCTCATGGGGCTGTGGAAGCTGGTGAATCACAAAATTGGCAAGTCAGATGGCAGGCCTACAGAAGCTGGCAAACTCCATGATCAGTAGGTCAGAAAACAGGCTGCTAGCTCAAGTCCCAAGAACTGGAGGTCAGATGATGATGCAGGATCTAGAGCAAGGGAGACTCTAGCCAGAGCATCCATATATATATTATATGCAGGTCATATCCCCAAGGAAATCAGAGTAAGGTGTGACTTGAGTAATGGCATGACTTGAGTAAGGGTGGAACTTGAGACATGCCCTCTTGTAAGGTGGTGACTCAGGACATACCCTACATTAATCTTGCCTCATTAACATATAAAATTTAGGATTTGCAATATATAAAATGGAGGATAATTACATAATATCACAAAATGGGGGATAATTATATTAGATCATAAAATGGAGGATAATTATATCAGATCACAAAATGGAGAACAGCCACACAGTATTAGGAATCATGGCCTGCCAAGATGGCAGGTATCATTAACATCACATAACCCAATTACAATGACACATTGAAACATGTGGTTTCATCTGCATGCACCGTTGTTTTCGTTGCTGCTGGAGCTCTGATGGCGTAGTGTCTAAGATATTTAGATATTTGACTGCTAACCAGAAGGCTGGTGGTTCAAACCCACCAGCCACTCCCCAGAAGGAAGACTGGGCAATCTACTTCCATAGAGATACTACCTCGGAAACCCAAGGAGGGGTTACTATGAATCGTAGTCGACTCCACTGCAGTGGATTTGGTTTTTTGGTTTTGGTTTATGTTCCAATGAGGCATTATCTTTATTCTTAGACCTGGAAGTTGTTGTTGGATGCCACTATGTTAATTCTGACTTGTAGCAATCCCTTGTGTCCCATAGGGTTTACTTGCCTGAAATTTTTATGGAAGCAGATTGCCATGTATTTCTCCAGAGAGTTGCTGGGTGGATTTGAATCACCAACCTTTAGGTTAGCCACCATTGTCCCACCAGAGCTCCTTAGAGTTGAAAGAGAACTTAAGAATCATCTTCACAATACCTGATTTCATTCTGCAAATATTTACTGTCCCAGATGCTGTGCTAGGCCAGGGCCACCCCAGTGAACTAGACAGACGATTCCTTGTCCTCCAAACTTAATAGCCTCTGGGAAGACAGGCAAAGGCATTCATTACAAAAAAGTGAGATGTGGTTAGAACTTTTAACAGTGGTCAGCAAAAACTTCCCTGAAGAAATCATGTTTGAGCTGAGGCATAAAAGAAAAAGAGGGAAGTGAGCGTGTTCCAGCCAAGGGAATACCTTGCATAAAGCCCACAGGAGGGAGGAGGCCTACAGAAACTGAAAGAGATTTGGAGTGACTGGAGACTTCGAGAGTTTGAAGGGCAAGAGGAGAGTGGGTATGAATTTAGGGGATAAGAATTTCATCCACAGGACAATGGGGTACTATACGAGGGTTTTCAGCAGGAGAGGACAAGATCCTATGGATGGGAAGTCTTGCACTGTCAGCTTACACACTGCTGTGTAGGGAGGCCTGCTTGCCACCTTCCAGGCCACTCATTCCAGTGTTAGGCAATTCCAACTGTGTTGTCCCCTTGAACTCAGACCCAGGAGCATGGCTACCTCAGCTACCCTGCACCAGAGGTTCACTCTCTCTTCCAGGAATTCTCCCGTTTCCATGAGGAAATCACCCCAATGCTAGACGGGATCACCAACAACCGCAAAGAGTGGAAGACACTTGCTGATGAGTACGATGCCAAGATGAAGGCGCTGGAGGAGGAGAAGCAGAAACATCAGACAGCCAAGCAAGGTTAATGGAAAGGCGAGGGTGGGGAGTCCCAACCTTCCACACACTGAGCGCTTATAGGGTGGCTGGGCGGGGCCTCAGAGCCTCACACGTGTGGTCTCATGTAGGCCTTCCAGTGACCTATTATTGTCCTATTCTACAGATGAGGGCAGTAAGGCTCACAGAGGTGAAGAGTCATGGGCAAGCGGCATAGGTAGTAAATGGCAGAGCCTGATTCCCATGACTGAGGCTGATGGATGTGCTGGGCCTCCCAGCAAGGACTCCTAGACTGCTTGCCCCCAGTATGAGACAGACTCTGATTCTAAGAACGTAGGCCCCTCTAAGGCTGTGGACAAGGGTCACAAGCAAAGAAGAAAACCTAGAATTAGTGTTGGAAGGAGTTCTAGAGGTCATATTTCCAGTCTACTGTCTGATGTTTGAGTCCCATCTATACCATCATGAGCCTTTGTTTGCACACTACCAGTGACAGAGGGCTCACCACTCATGACATCTTCATTTAGGACAACTAATTAGAAACTTTTCTTATGTTGTTGTTGTTGTTATGTGCCGTCGAGTCAAACCCGACTCATAGCGACCCCTCCTTGGGTTTCCGAGGCAGTATCACTACGGAAGTAGGATTGCCCAACCTTCCTTCCGAGGAGTGGCTGGTGGATTTGAACCGCCAGCCGTCTGTTTAGCAGGCAAGTGTCTTAGCCACTATGCTACCATACTGAACTGAAATTGTTCTCCTTGAAGTTTCCACCTAGTGGTCATAATCTGCCCTTAGGAATCAAACAGAACTGGTCTATTCCCTGTTCCCCACCTGACAGCATCCCTTCCCTGAGTCACTTACTTTTTTTTCCCCACTGATTGTATGGGTTCAGTCCCCTCACTGAACACGGTCCCACCATGTCTTCCCTCCTTTGCATACACGTCCCTTCTTAGACGTGGCTCTCGACATGGTCACTGCCCGGCCTCCAGCTCTGCTCTGAGCCATCGTGTGAGGTGATTGTAAACTGGCAGATGCAAACAGGGCACCTACAGTTGTGTAAGGTGTACTTTCCACAATTCCAGGGGTGGCCTATACATTACAATCACGGCAGATTTGTATAGTTCTTATAATTTGCCAGACAATGGCATTAGAATGTCTTGAGGAAGAGGATCTTTTTCTAATCAGCACCAGTTACCTTTTGGACTAGTAGCAGATCTATGCCAACTTGTGGCTAGCTGGTGTCTCTCTCTCTCTCACTTTTTTTTGGCCCGCATTTTTAAAAACACTGTGAATTTTTTGTCTACATTTTAAAATTGGAATAGTTCATATTTAAAAAACAGATTTCCAGCTTTTCTTTTTAAAAAATCAAGACCTGGCCACACCAGTCCTGCATGTGTATGACAACTGGCTAGAGCTGAGTAGCAACCAACCCCACTGGGTGGGACAAAGGCTCTCTACAGTTTATCACAGTCTCCACCACTCCCTCTTGTCTCCCAGACATTGGTGCTAAGTGTTGGTTGCCTTTTATCAACATGCTTGTGCTGTTATTTCTCTTAGAGAAGAAAAACATTCTCAGTTTTCCTGATTCTCCTTATACTTCGCTTGCCTTCTGCATATATGTTATCTGAACTTTTAGTCCAAAGCAGGTCTGAGAGGAAGCCCACTGCAGCCTCCCCTCATCATGTGTGTTCTCTTCTTGTCTGATTGCAGGAGCTGCAGGCAACCAGCCTGGGGGGAACCCTGGTGCAGCAGGGGGCACACCTGCATCCAAGTCCTGCTGTATCCAGTAGCATCAAAGCAAATCTGTGGACCAGAATGGAACCACCCCCCTAGGAAGACATTACCCAAGCCAGTGGAAAACCACACACCTTCTTGAGAAGTAAAAGAGTCGTAGGATTTGAAAGCAGAAAGAGAATTTAGCATATATCACATCTAGTTGTTTTCAAACATTGTTTTAGCCTTGAGAGCTTATATTGAGCTAAACAAATATTCATAGACTTCAGTTAAATATTTAATTAATGCTAGATGCACCTGCTTGTGTAGAATCACTTTTGTTCTTATACTTCCATTTGATGTTTTATTATAAAAATGTTCAATTATTCTAAAAAGTATAAAATTGTACAAAGAATCTCCACATACCTATCACCCAGCTTTGACATGCCAAGATTTGCTACATTTGCTTCATCTGTCTCTTTTCCCTTTGATTTTTTTTCATAGCTGAAGTGTTTAAAAACCAATTCCAGATGTTATGTCATTTCACCCCTCCATTATACATCTTTAAAGAAATACGGGCGTTTTCTCACATAACCACGCTGTCATTGTACACCAAATGTAACAAAACCCTTGTTTGTAGTGGATGCTGTGATGAACTGCCCGAATCCCCTTCATTGAAGGACCTGTGAGCCCTGTGACTGTGAACACTGTAGGCAGATGAACCTCAGACAAGCCCCTTTAGGGATTGCCTCTATTGCAGGGAGTTGCTTTCTTTGCCCAAGATCATGCCCTTTCCCAGGGTGGCCCACACCCACTAGCTAGCCCATGGCAGGTGTAAAGTCTTAGCCTTCTTGACTCAACAAGTGACAATGCTGAAAGGCCATCCCAGCTCCATAACTCCCCATAGGCTCCACCAAGGCGGTTGCTGGGCTTGCATTGCAGCTTGACTACTCCCTCTGCCCACTCCTACTTCCTTCCTTTCATTTCCTTTCCCTTCCCTTCCACAGATGTTGGTCCCAAGGGCACTCCTTAATACACATACCATAGACCGGTTCATTGCAGTGTCTGCAACAAGTGACACCAGTCCATTATCAAATTTTACATTGTCACCAAACAGTCTTTAATAGTTGGTTTGCTTGAATCCATTCCAAACTGACTGATTTCACACATCAAGTTTACTTACGTCCCTTAAGTCAAATCTGCTTTGTAAAATGTCACCCAAATCACAATAAAAAGTTAAAATAAATAAATAAAGTCTTCTTTCATCTACACAGTCCTCCTTTCTTTCATTTCTTTGCTTGTGGCTTGTTGCAGAAACAGGTTTAATTGTACTACAGAATGTCCTATACTCTGGACTTACATATTTGCTTCTTTATGGTGACATGTAACAGGTTCCTCTGTCCTGTGTTCTTCCATAAATGGACATTAGCTCCAGACAGAACTTCTCTTCCTGCTGAATAGAATGTTACACAGAAGCCAATATATTAAAGCAGTTGTTTTAATAAGAGAGAACCACAAGGTTTCTCCAAACTGTTTGTAAACCACTGATCTACTCTCACTTCTCTTATAGAAATGAGGAAACCAGGGGCCAGTGAAGATGACAGGGTTGAACCAAGTTGTGGCACAGCTTTCTGGCTGCCCCTCAGAAGCAGATGCCCAAGGTCACAGAGAACACAGTGTATAGGGCACACATCCCTACAACTTTGACAGCAGATCAATCTGGGCTCTTGATGTCCAATCTCTGCCCACATTCCAGGACAAGATGACAATAGGGAGCTGGCTCTGGGACCTTTTCTTTTAACTACCAAGCTAGATATTCAGACCTCCTGAAATTGACATTCTAAGAGCACCAATCTTTTAAGCAGAAACATGTTTCTAAGCACATCCTATTTATCATTTATCTATGCATCAAGAAGGAGCTCTGGTGCTGTAGCAGTTAAGGCAGTTGGCTGCCAACCAAAAGGCTGATGGTTCGAACCCACCAGCTACTTCACAGAAGAAAGGTGCGGCAATTTGCTTCCATAAAGATTTATAGCCTTGGAAACCCAAGGGGGATTGTGGTGAGTTGGAATCAACTCCATGGAAGTGAGTTTGTTTTTTTTGAAACACATCACATGTGGTGCTAAGTGCTTACAATGTGCTAGGTACTGTGCATGGCCTGATATCATCTGCATAATATAACGATCCCATAGGGCAGAAACTGTTGCTAGCCCTATTTATCAAATGATGGTATAACGGTTAATGTAAGGGGCAGCTTGGCTCAGCCGATTCTCAGTGGTTTGTCAGACACTATGTAATCACTTTCAATTCTGTTATCTGATATGAGCAGTCAATCAGTTGAAAGGGGAGTTTCTTTTGGGGGGGGTGTCTTGCCTCCAGTATATAAATGGATGTTCTGGCAAAGCTCATTCTTTCCCTGCCCTGCACTCTCTCATTGCCTGATTTCTGGTTCTTGGGACATAAGCCTGTACAAGTGTCTGACCTGCTGGTTCTGAATTTGCCAACCCCTGCAACCCTGTCTGTCAGCCAGCAGAGCTTCCAGCCCTTCCTGACCTGCAGGTTTTGTGTTCATCAGTTCCTACAATTACAAGAGCCAGGAGAGGCCTTCAGCATGCCACCTGACTTGCTGATTTGGGACTTGTCAGCCCTTAAGATTTTGTGAGCCATTTCCTCAAAGTAAATTTCTCTCATATATTTATATACATTTCACTGGCTTTGGTCCTCCTAGAGAACCCAGACTAAGACGGTTGGGAATGAGAGTCAGTGAGATTAAGGAACCTACCCGAGGGCACTCAGCCAAGCACTCAAAGCCAAGCAGCCTGACGGCAGACTCCCAGCTTCTGAGAACTAGCTTTTTATGAACATAAAGGGACCTTTGAGTTCAACTAAGTAAATCACCTGGCTTCATAGTCAGGGAAACCAAGGACCAAAGTAATGGTTTGTCTCAGCTCATACAATACAGAAATGGCAGAACTGAGTCTCCAAGTCTGGTTTTGGGGCAGTCAATTGGCCACTTGATTTAATGGACTCTCTTTGTGACCATGGGGTCACTCACTCACCCATCCAGGAACTGCTGATTAATGGGGGGTTGGGCATGTCCAACAAGCTAACTCATTTGGTCTTAGTCATCCCACACCAGAATGAGAGAAGCAGGGGAAGGTCTTTCCTTACGTCACCCACATGTAGCTGAGACCCTGTTGGCTGCCTCTGTTCCTTCCTACACCCAAAGAAGAGGCAGTCTTGTTCTTCTAGAACTTACCATCTAGTAAAGGGGTGACAGATACTGAGGAATCAGTCACACAGATAGCCTCATGAGTGACCCTAATTCATGCCAGAGAAGACTGTCACTAAGTGAAAAAATCCCCATTCATTATAATGGGAAAAACTGAGACACATTCCCCTCTGGCCTAAGAAATCCAAGCACTTTTCATAGATTGGAAAAATAGATCATCTGAACAATGAAAATGAGTCTATGTGTCTATGTAAGTAACAGACTATTTGAAACGTTTATACAAAACATGAAATGCAATGTTTATTGTCCTGTTCTTGTTTGTGTATAATCTTCTTTACCAAGGTTTCAGTCCCTTTGGGGCTCATGGGTATCTTTGCACTTAAACTGCACTCAAAAATAAAAGTTAAAGCACACACACACACACACACACACAAAATAGCTTCAGGGCAAAATAATGGCTAAACACGAGTGCTTTGAAACATGAGGAAATGACAGGTGTACAAAACTGAGTCTTAGCAGATACTACTTCTTCCTCTCTCTCTGGAGGAGCAAAGGAAAATGTATGCAGTTCATTCATATGTGGTACACAGTTCAGTTATGCTCTGATACATGCTGACTAGAAAGGCTTATCAATGTAAATCAGTGAATGTTTTTGTTTGAAATGACAATTTCAAGATGTCTCTTCTAGCACATTTACTTAGCGTGTTTGTATGAAAATGCTGATATACCAAAACAAAGGGGGAGGGTCCAATACAAACAGTGGTATCACTTTACAAAGTCATAGTAAAAATTTGTTAATGGAACATTTGTTATGTAAGTTTGCATGGTGATTTTTTTTTTTTTCTCCCCTGTTGCTGTTGAGTTGACTTGGATTCATGGTGACCCCCCCATGTGTGTCAGGGTAGATCTGTGCTTCATAAGGTTTTTAATGGCTGATTTTTTAGAAGTAGATTGGCAGAACTTTCTTCTGAGGTCCCTCTGGGTAGGCTCACACTGCCAACATTTCAGTTAGCTCAAAAAACTAAAAAGCTCACTGCCGTTGAGTCGGATCTGACTCATAGCGACCCCTCCTTGGGTTTCCGAGGCAGTGTCACTACGGAAGTAGATTACCCAACCTTCCTTCTGAGGAGTAGCTGGTGGGTTTGAGCTGCCAGCCTTCTGGTTAGCAGTCAAATGCCTTAGGCACTATGCACCAGAGCTCCAGATGAGTGCAGTAACCATCTGTACTACCCTGGGACTCCCACATGGCTATTATGAACCTGCAGAAGTGAACAAAGTGTGTCAAAAGTGAACAGAGTGTATTGGTGGGGTGGGGGCAAACCATGATGGGGGCTTTTCTGAGGAAGTCACGTTGACTGGAATCTCTTCCGTATTTAGGGGCCAGACTTACTCCATAAAGAACACACCGGAACAATAAAGAAAGACACATGTGGGCAGGGCTGTGGGTGGTATTTCCTTTTTAATCTCCATAGTGTATTTGTTAAGTTTATTTATAAGCAGATCACTTCACTATTTACAGTACATGAGCATAGAGATTCTACAGTTTTTGTGATGTAAACAATAACTCCCCAGTGGGAGTTTGAGAAAAGAAGCCAGTTCTGAAGTATTTACAGACGTTAAAATAGAACTTTATACTCACGGAATAATAATACATAGAGCAATTTGGTTAAATTATCTATGAAACTATAGAATCTGACAATGTACAAATACAGGAAAACATTTTCTCATTTAGAAGGTAGACAGATAAATCACACCAGAAATAAAATAGGGAGGATGACAACCACAATAATTAAAAGCAAAGAAGGGTTCTTCCTTGCCTCTTACAGATAAAGTATTTATATAAATAAGGACACAACCCAACAAAATGGAAAAAATATATAAAAATCCTCTACCAATTAAAAAAAATAGCAAAACTAAAAACTCGATTCTCAATCATTAGCAGTGTCCTTTAAAAAATTAAAATTTAGCTTTCTATTAT